ACACACACCACGCCACACCACGCCACATCGCACCACACCACACCACGCCACACCACACACCACCACACCACAGAGAGTGCGCAGAGGGTGGTCCCTCAGCGCAGCCTCTATCCGTGACGCGCTCGCAGATCGTGGTAGGAGCTGCACTTTCTCGACGCCAGAGGGGGTGCGCAGAGGGTGGTCCCTCAGCGGGGCCTCTATCCGTGACACGCTCGCAGGGCGTGGCAGGTGCGGCACTTTCTCGACGCCGCTGGGGGGGCGCAGAGGGTGGTCCCTCAGCGGGGCCTCTTATCCGTGACACGCTCGCAGAGCGTGGCAGGCGCGGCACTTTCTCGACGCCGCTGGGGGGGCGCAGAGGGTGGTCCCTCAGCGGGGCCTCTATCCGTGACACGCTCGCAGGGCGTGGCAGGCGCGGCACATTCTCGACGCCACTGGGGGGGCGCAAAGGGTGGTCCCTCAGCGGGGCCTCTATCCGTGACACGCTCGCAGGGCGTGGCAGGCGCGGCACATTCTCGACATCACATGGGGGTGCGCAGAGGGTGGCAGGCTTGCGCGGTACAAGGATGCGCAAGGAGATCTTCTGGTTCTGCAGTGGTCATTCAGTTCGGGCAGAGGCCAAACGAGCTGGAGGGTTGGGAAGCAGCTAACGACAAAACAATATCCCCGGAGACTTTTCGTCAAAGGGAAGCGCCGTGCCATAGACAATTCCGCCCACTGGGTCTTCGAAAAAGGAAGGGCGGAGGAGGGCGAGAAGGATAGGGGGGCGCAGGATTGCGCATAGATGATGATGACACGCGGAAGCACCAGCCCCCCCATGACCGTGCCCAGCAAGGCGCCCACATGATAATGACAAGCAATCACATAAGGTTATATATCAGTATGTGGGGATTCTCGGTAGCGTAATTCTCTCCCTCTCTCTTCTTCTTCCCTCTCTGTCCCCCATCCGTCGCAGCCCAGCCCCCCCCCGGTGCTCCTATAACGCGCGCCCCCGTTCAGTTCCGCGCTAAATTGCCGAGGGGTGGGCGGTGGCGCGCGTGGAGAGACGCGGCCAATCAGAGCTACGGGCAGAGCGCACGGGCATGGGGGAAAGCGGGAGGCGGACGGGGCGGCGGACTATAGGCTGAGCCCTTCGTGCGAAATCTACGAGGCGCGCTCCGCCGCGGCCGAGCGGACGGGACAATGCAATGGCATTGGCCTCCCGCTGCACCCCGCGACATGGGATTGTGGATGGCATAGGGGGGGGGGGGGCGTGGAGTTGATAAAACCGTGTGTGCGTACAACTTCGTTTTGCTGCGTTGCATCGCCGTCACTAGCATCATCATCATCGGCATCAGTTGACAAAGTCGTGTGCGCGTGTACATGCGTGTTTTCATACTATCACAAAGTGCGTTCTCATATCATCGCTGTCGCGACCCAAGCATCCCCAGAGATGTGCGACCTGGTGGCAAACAATCCGTGCGTCGAATCCATCAACATGGCGACTGCGACGACGATCGCGCGATGATGGCGGTACCCGATAGCAGGAAGGTGATTGAGCCTCAAACCAGGCACGGAAGAGAGTACCCGAGTTGAGAACTTAATTTGATATATTCCATATGGAACAACACACATATGATGATGTTGACGAGTATGTGTTTCAAGATGCTGCTGATGACGATGGTGATGACGAGTATGCGTTTCAAGATCCTGCTGATGGCGATGATGATGACGAGTGTGTCTGTCAAGCTGCTGGTGATGACGATGATGATGACGAATATGTGTCTCAAAATGCTGCTGATGAAGATGGTGATGACAAGTACGTGTTTCAATATGTTGCTGATGATGGTGGTGATGACGAGTATGTGTTTCAAGATGCTGCCCTTTCCTGTCGTGCCCCCGCCCTATCCTCGGAGATGGCGGTTTCGACATCACCCTGGGGCCCCCGAGATCATCCCCTGTCAGGGGCAGGTCGCGAGTACCAGAAATGAGAGTTACGAATCCTCTGGTATGCGTTGGGGGCAACCCATTATCCTAATGGGCCTCACAGGGCATCATCGGGAAACACAGTCCACCAGACTATGGGAATAACCCCCTGGGTCTAAGCACCCATAACGGGTTCCATGAGTCCTCCTCTTCCTCCTCCTCCTCCTCCGCCTCCACCTCCGTCTCTTCCTCCTCACCCCTCTTACTTCCAGTGGGTGAGCGCCGAAGCGCGTTCCAGAGGGACATCTTAAGCCTTAAGCCCTCGATTCTCCGGCCTCCGGAGGCCCGAAAAGAACGCGTGCGAATTGCCGTATTAGTTGTTTTGCAGCGGGTAACAACGCAAATCCTTATGTGATAAACTACAAATAGAATCTGCTGGCAGGTTATGACAACGTTGATAACGATTATGCTTCGCAAGGGATTCCGAAGGTCATTGCGACGATAAGCACGCGTTTCAAGATGCTGCTGTTAACGACGGTGGCGACGCGCATTCGTTTGAAGGTGATGGCGATGACGATGGCGGTGACGAGTATGTGTTACAAGACGCTGCTGATGACGATGGTGATGACGAGTATGTGTTTCAAGATGCTGATGATGGCGATGATGGTGGCGCGTATGTGTTTCAAGATGCTGTTGATGACGATGATGATGATGATGCTGACGAGTATGTGTCTCAAGATGCTGCCCATGACGATGGTAACGACGAGCATGTGTTTCAAGATACTGCTGATGACGATGATGATGATGACGAGCATGCGTTTCAATATGCTGCTGACGATGATGATGATGACGAGCATGTGTGTCAAGATATTGCTGATGATGGTGGTGACGAGCATGTGTTTCAATGCGCTGCTCATGACGATGGTGATGACGAGCATGTGTTTCAAGATGTTGCTGATGACGATGGTGTTGGCGAGCATGTGTTTCAAGATGCTGCTGATGACGATGGTGCTGACCAGCATGTGTTTCAATATGCTGCTGGTGACGATGGTGATGACGAGCATGTGTTTCAAGATGCTGCTGATGACGATGATGATGATGACGCGTCTGTGTTTCAAGATGATTCTGATGACGATGATGATGATGATGACGAGTATGTGTCTCAAGATGCTGCCCATGACGATGGTTACGACGAGCATGTGTTTCAAGATGCTGCTGGTGACGATGATGATGATGAGCATGTGTTTCAAGATTCTGCTGATGACGATGGTGATGACGAGCATGCGTTGGGAGCAATGCGTTGTCATAACGAGCTTCACAGAGCACAATCGAGTGGGAAGCACAGCCCACCAGACTACGGGAATAACTCCCTGGGGCTAGGCACCCATAGCAGATTCCATAAGTTATCCTCTCTTCACCCTTCTTCCTCCTCCTCCTCCGCCTCCACCTCCGTCTCTTTCTCCTCGCCCCTCTTACTTCCAGTGGGTGAGCGCCGAAGCGCGTTCCAGAGAGATTAATAAGCCTTAATATCGCCATTCTCCGGCCTCCGGAGGCCCGAAATAAACGTTAGCGGATTGCAAATTGATTTCTTTTGTTGTTGAATTACAAAAGGGAATCCTTTTGTCGTGAACTAGCATTGTTTTACTTTGTGGCAGATTACAAAAGGATTCCTTTTGTGGAGAATTACAAAAGGGCTTCTTTTTTGGAGGATCACTGATGATTCCTTTTTGTGGCGAATTACAAAAGGGAGTCCTTCTGTGGTGAATTGCAAAAGGACCTCTTTTGTGGAGGATTACAAAGGGATTCCCCTCTGTGGAGGAATGCAAAGGGATTCCTTTCGTGGAGAATTACAAATTGATTTCCTTTGAGGGCTCTCCTGGAAGTGAACCAGGGGGCAAAAGAAAATGCATGTTTTCAATGAATTTCCAATGTTTTGAAGCAAAAACATATAAAAACACAGAATTTCCAAGGTTGTGAGGCCGAAGCCATATGAACACGCAGCATTTTTGCATTCGGATTGTGAAAATGCTGTGTTTTTTATATGTTTTTGCTGCAACACATTGGATTTTGTTTTCGAAAAACCTGCAATTGTCCACAATGTTTTTTTTTGTCTTTTGTCCCCTGGTTCACTTCCAGGAAAGCACTCAAAGGAAATCAATGTGTAATCCTCCACAAAAAGGAATCCCTTTGTATTCCTCCCAAAGGGAATTTCTGTGTAATCCTACACAAAAGGGATCCTTTTGTAATCTTCCACAAAAGGAATCCTTTTGTAATCCGCCCCAAAAGGAAACAATTTATAATGCATCATGAACAGAATTCCCTTGTAATTCCTTACAAAAGAACTCAATTTAAAATGTGCTTCAACAGGAATCGTTTTGCATCCCACTACTTTGAGCAATCCCTGTAGAGATGACGAAAAGCATAATCAACAGGAAAGCGAGCACATCAGAAGTAATAGACCAAGAACCGAGGTGGCACACGCACGCACACACGGTTTTATCAACCTTACGGGGGGGGGGGGGGGGCAACGGATTCAAAGTGTTATTATTATTATTTTTCTGGAGGCGCAGTTGCGGCTGCTCGCTGAGACGCCGCGTCAACTGCCGGATAAGCGCACGGCTGATCTGCGTGCCTCTGTGCACGCAGCAAGGCGCCCGACATCAAAGCTTCGCGCTGGCCGACGGGGCGGCAGCTCGGCAACCGCCCTCATCCTCGTCCTATCTCCTCCGTAAGAACTCCCCCCCCCCCTGGCCCCCCCCCCCCCCCCCCGCCATCTACCTCCTCTCTACTGCGCGGCAGCACGTGGATTATAGCCCTGCCTAGTGCTGCGATGATCTGAGCTGTAGAGCTCGAGATAATGACGCGCGCGCGGTGCAAAACACACGCGCGCACCTGACGCATCGCATCCGCGCGTGCTGAATGACGCTCGCGACCTCTTCTGCTTATTGGCGCTCTGTTCGTGGATTGGCACGGCCTTAGCCTTGGGCTTGACGAACATATGGAGCCTTACGTTTGGCCCGATAATGAGAATGTTGGTCAGCACTGGCAACGTGAACCCACCGCGGGACATCCGGCTCGCTGCCATGCTGGTTTGCATTTTATTGTAGGTTGACCCGACCCACCAGTGCGCAGCCATATTCGGCTTCATCGAACTGGGTGGTGCCGTTGTCTTTCGGCTTCCCCACAGGGAACACAGCGAAGTTCTGCGTGGTGTCGCTGTCAACCACGCGATCGCTAAGCGATATGCCCGACCCAGTGTTATTCGAATGTAGGTTAATACGTTTTGCCACTGTGACCAGCGCAAGCTGACCCTGCTTGATCGTGGTCGTGGTCCGAACCCCATCTGACTTCCGCCAGGAGACCAGATTATGCTTGCTCATGCGCTTGGCATCTAGCTCGAGAAGAGCTCGGTACACCGCAGCCTTTCGCTTGTCGATGTACAGCCGCTGTGGGCGCTGCTGATCACCTTCCACCTGCTTTGGCGGCTCAGCCTCCGAGATTGACCACTTCTCAATGAGACCGGCCAATGCAATCTCAGCCATGTATGGCTCTCGGTCCGAGTAGCGGTTGACAGATTCGCGAAGCTTGACAGTCTGGCCGATGCTGAAGACCGCGCACAGCTTCTGGGCTGCAACGTCCTTCTGGACTACGAAGCACCCGACCGGGTACCCAGCCCCCCCCCATGGTCACTGGGCGTCGCGGAGCTGGGCGCAGCAGTCGGCTTCGCTTTGGGAGTTGCTGCGGCGCCGCCCGAGACCTCATACTTCGCCCACTCGTCGAACGTGACGGTCTGACCTTTGAGGCAGCTGAGGCTGTCCAAGAATGATTTGCATATGTCACCCCCGCTTGTGCTCTTCGCCCCCCCGACCCACCTTCCCCTTTTCCCGCAAGCCTCAACGCAACCCTCGCGAATCGCTGCCCAAACAGCTCCAAGGCCGCCTCGACACCGTCGCATGCGAGCCTCATGTTCAGCAATAGCTGCTTCAGCCATCTTAGGTTTGCCTGCGACATTCGCTATGCCAGCGTTCGCCAGCAAGCGCGCCACGCGGTCCTCAACCTTGTCACCCCTGAGGTTCACAATGGCAATCGCCACCCGAATCGAAGGATGCACGTTGGTCTTCGATGTGAAAGTTGCTTGCGCAAGCGCTTCCCAATGCGTTTGCCCGAGCGTAACGTTGCAGCCAAAATGTTGTGCAACAGAGTCCGTGCACGCCGCCAGAGGAGCGCCATCGCCGCCGACGACATGCTCGACGAATCCCAGCAAGGTCTTGCTGCAATTAGCGCTCGGCACGTTGAGCGAAACTGCGCTTTCGATAGCCAACTCTTTCCAGCCCTCGAGCTCGCGCATCCGCGGGCCACTGGCACTCGCCGCCGAGGCCGCGCAGGTCTCGAGCTCCCCGGCCGCAGTGCCGATGTGGTTCTGCATGGTCAGAGCTCTCTGGGCTGCAACTGCGTGGCTTGGGAACTGCTCGCCCATCGCACTTGGGGCCACCCTCCGCGCCCAGCCTTTCCCAATCATGATTTTGAGTTGTGCGTTTTGGAACAACTTCTGCACGCCGATCAAATCTGAGTCATGCCATTGCAATGACTTCTGCGGCGGCTTGCCCTGAACCCGTGCCCGTTTGCAGGAAACCGCGGCGCGCCCGCGCCCGATTGTCGCGCGGCGCCCTGGCCATTCACAGGCGCTCGAAGCCCCTGGGCTCGATCCACCAGCTGCTTATTATTAGCAATGTGCTGTCGTCGCAGGGGGGGGCTCCAGTTCGACGCGCGGAGCATTGGATAGCTGGCGCACGTCCGCTCCGCAAGCGTGGATCCTAGCAGCAGTGCGGCGCGCATAATGCGGGCCCAGCAGAAGCCCCCCATCGATCTACCGCATGAGTGATTGCAGATTTCGGAGGGACGTGGCCCACTGTGCACGCCAACTTGCGATCGCGGAGGCTCTGCATAAGTTTGTCTACTTGCTCGTTCGCCTTCGTTTTTTCCCCAATCCAACATCTTCTGGAACTCCCCGTTGAAAGCGTCGGCGAGCTGGGGCATCGCGCCCGCGGCATGCCGCGCGCGAAAGTGAGAAGCCCGAAACGTACAGCAGTGGTGCTTTGAGCCGTAGCGGCCATGCAAACGACGGAGGGGGAACGCAACCACAAGGTCCAACATTTTCATCGCAAGACAAGCTTTCCAGGCCCATCAATTACCTAATGGCTCGCATGCCCCCACTCTCATCCACGAATTCAAAGCTCATGCGTTCAAAAATTTTGACGCTTGCATGTGCAGTGCAGTTTGCTCTAGAATCCACTGAACGGGCCCTGTGATGCGATGCGCGCGGTCACCCCGAGCCTTTCGCTTAGACGGAGGGCAATGATACTGACCGAAGGATGGATGGTAAAATCTGGTTTGGTCCGAACTCGAATTTCCAAATTTTGTTGTTTGGGGCGTTCGTTGCCCAGTTGGTTCTCCAGTTCGTAATGTATCGGGCGCTACATGTTAAACGCGAAAATGCATATTCTGTTTCGAAGAATATGTTTTGGGGGTTGGTCATAGGTCGAGATCAAACGTTCAGCTAACTTCAAGTTAGCCGACGGTAAGCAGCTATGTTAACATAATATGCATTCGTTGCCACACTTAGAGAGAAAACGCAATGCTAAACTTATGTCGTACTCAGCAACCGCTAAACCTATTGTGCAGTTTATGTTGGTTTTATTCCACGGGCGTGGTGGGGGGCGTGGGGGGCCGACGAGGTTTTTGCAGGGTGGGCGGCCCCTGACAACCCAGGCCCAGGGCGCCATGGGTTCGGCGGGGTCGCCGGCGAGGTTTTTGCAGGGTGGGTGGCCCGTGAGAAGCTAGACCCAGGATGCCAAGGGGGTGGCGGTGTCAGGCGCGGTGGGGGCGTGGTGGGGGGCGTGGTGGGGGGTGCCGACGTGGTTGTTGCAGGGTGTGCGTGTGGCCTTTGAGTACCGAGGCCCAGGACAGGACGCCAGGCGGCTGGCGGTGTCAAGCGCGGTGGGGGCGTGGTGGGGGGCGTGGTGGGGGGGGGTTGGCGAGGTTTTTGCAAGGTGTGTGTGGCCCCTGAGAACCGGGGCCCGGGACAGGACGCCAGGGGGGTGGCGGTGTCAGGCGCGGTGGGGGCGTGGTGGGGGGGTGCTGGCGACGTTTTTCCCAGAAAACCGAGGCCAAGGACGTCAGGGGGCTGGCGGTGTCAGGCGCGGTGGGGGCGTGGTGGGGGGCGTGGTGGGGGGTGCCGGCGAGGTTTTTGCCGGGTGGGTTGCCCTTGAGGACTTAGGCCAAGGACGCCAGGGGGCTGGCGGTGTCAAGCGCGGTGGGGGCGTGGTGGGGGTTTGGCGAGGTTTTTGCAAAGTAGGTGGCTCTTGAGAACCTATGCCCACGACGCCAGGGGGCTCGCGGAGTCAGGCGCGGTGGGGGCGTAGGCGTCACCGCGAGTATTGACAGGGTGGGGAGGCCCGAAAACACCACGCCCAGGAGCCAGGAGGTCGAGGTGGCTGGGGATGTCAGACGCAACTGGGGGGGGCCAGCGCGAGTTTTTGAAGGGTTGGGAGGCCCTCAACACACAACTCCCAGGAGGTCGAGGTGACTGGGGATGTCAGACGCGGTGTGGAATGCCAGCGCGAGTTTTTGCAGGGTGGGGGTGCCTTCGAACACCACGCGCAGGAGGTCGAGGTGGCTGGGGCGCCCAGGAGGTCGAGGTGGCTGGGGTCAGACGTGGTGGGGGCGTGGTGGGGAGTGCCGCCCCTATACCTCACACGCCTCTGGGATCGGCGGATATAGAACACAAAAACAACAAAACCAAACACAACTAAAACAACGAGGCGACAGCCTCGTGGGCACGCCGCCCCCCTCGCGTGCCCTGCCGCACAGGCGCGGCGTGCCCCGCCACTCCGCCCGGCGCGCCCGTCCCCGGCCCGGGCGGGGCGGCAGCGGCGCCGCCAGGCGCTCAGCGGGGCTTCCAGGGCGCTGTCTTCGGCACCTGGCGTCGGGGCTCAAGAGACGGGGGTCACTGCAAACGGGGGTCAGCCAGAGCGCCGGATCTTGCAGGATCCTGCAGGGCCAGGGTCGCATTGACCTGGGCTTGGGTGCAGGATCCTGCAGGATCTTGCAGGATCTTTCGCATTGACTTGGGTTTGCAGGATCTCGCAGGATGCTGCAAGGCCTGATTGACCCAGGTCTGGATTGACCCGGGTCAGAAGATCTTTGACGGGCGTCGTCTTCGGCATTGGCGTCGGCGTTGGCGTCGGCGTCGTGCCCAGTCCTCGGACAGGGGAAAAGGCAACCCTACCGCTACCCTTCAGGGCTCGTTTCGATTCTTCCGATTCGATTCGGTTCGACTTCGATGGCTTCCGATTCCGATCCGATTCGACTTGGGATTCCGATTTGGGCTCTGATTTCCCATTGCAGGCATACTAGCCTGCCGATTTCCTCCGATTCGACTCCTCCCGACCTAGTTCTCGGAAAGGGGAACAGTAGGGGAACGAAGAATGACATCAATATGAAATCTCGGACCTCAAAGTTTTGATGTCTATGCCATTCTTCGTTCACCTAAACAGGTACCCATACCGCTACTCTTCCACCTCGTTCTCCCCCTTTTTCGGCCTCCCGGGATGCCCTCGTCGCCACCGCTGGATTCGCTTCGAAATCGTGGTCAGGACGCACCCAGGGAGAGGTCCGAGGGGTAGTGGGTATTGGGGTTTCACCAAGACGCGGTGTGAAAAAATCAAGGTCGGAGCTTTTTCGCTTTTTTCGGCCTCCGTAACCGAGCCTCGTGACCGGACTCGTATCCAATCCCGGAGAAGGAATCCATACATTTGGGGGTCGACTTTGCGAACAAAATCGCGACGTCGGGGGTTTGGGTTGTCGTCGTCGTCGGCCTCGGCCTCGGCCTCGGCGTCGGCGATGTCCGGCGTCAGCGTCGGCGCTCTCGTCGTCGGCGTCGGCGTCGGCGTGGGCTTTCTCGGCGTCGACGTGCTCGTCGTCGGCGTCGGCGTTCCCGTCGTCGTCGTCGTCGGCGTTCTCGTCGTCGTCGTCGGCGGCGGCGTCGTCGTCGGAAGCGATCTGTCGGTGTCTTGGCCTGCGTGCCTCCGGCTGCTGCGGCGCCGCCTCGCCCAGGGAGTCCCGCAGTGGGTTGCGGGGCCGTCCAGATCTTCGCTCGGCGACAAGTGGGGGCGCGTGTGCGGCACAGACGGCACTCGCACTCGCAGGAGGAGGAGGGAGGCGGGAGGCGGAAGAGGAGGATGACCAGTGCAAGCCAAAGAGCCATCAGCGATGCTGGAATTAATCCTCACCCCAAGCTCCCTTTTCACATTCACCTGCAACGGTTCATTTCCATTGAGGGAATTGCCTCGTTGGAAGACGCCCTTGAAGACCCTGAAGCATGCCAGAACATTGTTCTCGGGATTTCAACGCCACGGATCAACCTGATTGCTGCGTCTTGACGATCCGGAATCTTGCCAGAACGCCATTCTCTGGGTTTCAGCACTGCGAGTCAACATAATTGCTGCGCCCGCATAATCCTGAATCCTTCCAAAACATTATTTCTGGTACGTTGATCATGGGAATCCGTGAAACTCTTCCAAAAGTTAAGAACGACTTTGCGCTGCGCTAAGACGAGAGCCACGTCTCGAAAAGGAACCGTCCTCAATCCGTGAAGCTCCTTCGAACATTTCAAACGAATGCGTGCGGCGCTAAGGCGAGACCCACATTCTGAAAAGGAACCGCCCTCAATCCGTGAAACACTTGCAACTCTTTAAAGTGAATGTGCGCTACGATGAGGCGAGAGCCACATTTTGAAAACCACCCGCCCTCAACCCGTGAAACCCCTGTAACGTTTTGAAACGCATGTGCGCGGCGCTAAGGCGAAAATCACATGTTGAAAACCACCCGCCCTCAATCCGTGAAGGTCTTGCAAATATTGCGAAGGCCTTACGGCCGGTGCCGCCGACCCTGGAGGGCGACCCATGCGTTCTCGTATGTGGCGGGGGGGGCCTCTTGGGGCTTCCTGGGGGCCTCTTGGGGGTCTCGTGGTGGCCTCTTGGGGGCCTCTTGGGCGCGGCTCGGGCGCGGTCCGAGCGCGGCTCGGGCGCGGCTCGGGCGCGGCTCGGCGGCGGCTCGGGCGGCTCGGGCGCGGCCCCGAAACAATAAAGAATCCCTACGTGCAGTACTTGCGGGGGGGGCGTCGTATCTGAGTGGCGCCCCCCCCCCGGGACCCCCCCCGGGACCCCCCCGCTACCCCCTCCCGGCGGGGGAGGGATCAAAGGGAAGGGGCTTCCCTTCGACTCAAATACGACGTTGCTGAAGTTCATTTGGGCTGGCGCGCTTGAGCAGGGGCCCCTGCTGGGAAAGAGGACGGGAGTGGCGACGGGCCCACGGAAAGGGAGGCGCAAGGAAGGGGGACGACAGAGACGACGACCAACGAACAACGGGGATGACGTCTCGAACGGAAAAGCCCCTCACACACGCCGACAGGGTCGG